ACACTAGCAGCAGCAGCAGCAGCAACAGCAACAGCAGCAACAACAGCCGCAGCAGAAGATGTACCGCAATTTGTATGACACAGACTGCATCACTTGGTCTCCCCAAGGCCGAGTCTTTCAGGTGGAATATGCAAAACAGGCAGTAACGCAGGGCACCTGCTGCGTGGGGCTCAAGTCCGATTCTTACGTGGTAAACCCTAAACCCTAAACCCTTATTCAGCGAACCCCCAGCAGACGAAACCCTCCTTCCGCCCTAGAGGGTATTCATTCTCTCAACATTAGCGTCGCCTTGTGGCTCGCCTCGAACAGCGCAAACCCTGTGGACACCGAGCACCCCTTTTGAGGGTTTAGGGTTTAGGGTTTAGGGTTTGGGGTTTGCCGGTCTGGGATGCGTTTAGGTTTTGTGCTCCCTGAAGAAAAGCCCCTCCAAGTTGGCGGGCCACCAGCAAAAACTTTTCTGTATTGATGATCATGTTGGGGTTGCGATCTCTGGCATCACCGCTGACGCCAGTAAACCCTAAACCCTAAACCCTAGAGATTAACCCTAAATCCTCGATAAACCCTACAGATAAACCCTACACCCTCGTTTAAATCATGTTGGTGTTTACAGCCCGGCATCGTGGGGGGTTTTCGGCCCTGCCGAAGTGGGAAGGGCTCACGGTGTAGGTTTTAGGGTTTAGGGTTTAGGGATTAGGGTTTGTGGTTTGTGGTTTGGGCTGCAGAGGTCCTTTGCGAGATTATGAGGAATGCCTGCCTCCAACACAAGTTCACCTACGACACGGAAAAGCCAGCTGCAAGACTGGCGCTGCTTGTTGCGGACAGTGAGCTTAAAGGGTTTAGGGTTTAGGGTTTAGGGTTTAGGAAAGTGTGGCGTCGGGAACAGGGCAGCTGGGTCTGGCGGAGCTTCCAGGATAAACCCTAGACCCCTGCGAGCAAACCCTGAGCCTCGGGGCCCCCGTAAACCCTAAACCCTAAACCCTTGTTTTGTGTGGTTGCAGAATGCCAAAACAACACACAGCGCAGCGGGAAGAGGCCTTATGGGGTGGGGCTGCTTATTGCTGCATGCGATGCCTCTGGCCCTCGTCTATTTGAAAACTGTCCTTCCGGCAACTACTCTGAATACAACGTAAACCCTAAACCCTGAACTAAACCCTACACCCTCATCGGAGAGCCTGCCTCCCTCTCACTCTCACGCAGGTCCACCGTCTGGCGCGCTTGCATTGCTTAGGGTTTAGGGTTTAGGGTTTAGGGTTTGGTTCGATTCAGGCCATTGCATTTGGCGCGCGGTCACAAGCCTCAAAGACATACCTTGAGAGGCACTTCCAGACATTCCCTGCCGGTATTCCCTAAACCCTAAACCCTAACCCTTCCATTAAACCCCAAACCCTAGGCAGCAGTGAGGAAGCTCAAACCCTAGCTTGCAGTTTGTTGCTTGGCCCTCCACGTGAGGCACAGCGCAGGGTGCTGATGGGCCCTGAAGGCATCTTTACTCGCGAGTTAGGGTTTAGGGTTTAGGGGTTAGGGTTTAGGGTTTTGGGGTGGTGTTTGCAGCAAGTTTGGACGACCTTCTTCTGCACGCCGTAAAGGCTCTCAAAGCATCCATGGCAGCCGACACCGAGTGCGTCTAGGAGTTTTGGGGCTGAGGGGTTAGGGTTTAGGGTTTAGGGCTTAGGGTTCTGTATACGGCAGAAGCTGCTTGTGTAGCAGCTAGAGCGTTCGGGCAGGGTCTAGGGCCGCAGCCGCAGTTGGCAACTAGGGTTTAGGGTTTGTGGTTTATAGTTTAGAGTTTATGGTTTGGAGTTGAGGGTTGAGGCTTCTCATTGCTTTCAGGCTGACGGCAGAATGTCTGTGTGTTGGCATTGTGGGGCGCGGCCAGCCCTGGCGCGGTGAGGGTTTAGGGTTTAGGGTTTTGGGTTCTGGGCTGAGGGTTTAGGGTTCTGTCTTCAGCAGTTTTTGCACAAATAGCAGTGTGTAGATAACGGTTTAGACGAATAGCACATCTCCCCAAACTAAGGGTTTAGGGTTTAGGGTTTGGGTTCTAGGGTTTGAGGGTGCTTCGCAGAGCTGAACCAGGATGAGCTGCAAACTCTCGTGGATCGTCTTGCGGTGCGTCAATGCTTTAGGGTTTAGGGTTTAAGGTTTAAGGTTCAGGTTTTAGGGTTTGCGGCTCTGAATTGCCCGTCCTACGCGTGTACGTAGCAAACGGTTTAGAGAAGCAAGGGTTTAGGGTTTAGGGTTTGTTTGTGTGCTTGCGCAGAGTGCTGAGGATGCGGGTGAGAGCGCGGCAATGGTTGTGGACAACCCCGAGTAGAGCTTTAACCAGTGCGCTGAGGCTTAGGGTTTAGGGTTTAGGGTTTAGGGTTTCCGCCAGAGGAACAGCACCCCTAAACCTCTTTATTTTCTGCGTCATGTCTCGCAAGACAGACGAACCGAAATGCTAAAACGCTTGTTTTGAGCTCTCCTTCGAGAGGTTTTAGGGTTTTAGGGTTTGGGGTTTATGGTCTGAAGTAGGGATTAGGGTTTACGACTTGAATTAGGGCTAAGGGTGCACAGTTTGAAATGCAATTTACGGTGCAGGGTTAAATTAGGCCCATTTCAGGATACCTTTGACGATGTAGATATTAGGGTTTAGGGTTTAAGGCTCAAAAAGGCTCAAAGCAAGAGAAACTCCGGATGCAACCGAGCCTGCAAGCCTTTAGACTGTAGTGGTAAAGGTTAGGGTTTAGGGTTTAGGATTTAACACCTTGAGTTCCCTTGGTGAGAAAAACGCTTAATTCATAGAAGACGGGTGGTCGTCAGGGTTTAGGGTTTCGATGCAGTTCAAGGGTGGTATAGGGTTTAGGGTTTAGGGTTCGCTCGGGGCTGTCGGTCCTTCGTGGGGCCTTCCAGCTGGCAGTAGTCGTACATCTAGAGGGAAGAGAAGGCTTCAAATTTAGTTTTTACAGAGTCTTTTGGGGGCTACAGGTTCTAGGGTTTAGGGTTTAGGGTTTAGGGTTTTGACAATGGGGAAGGCGTCGAAGGCCCGCAAGCGCAGGGCCCGGCGGCAAGACGCGCTGAAGGCAAATGCAATGGACGAAGACAAACCCCAGAAAAACAAGAAAGGGGAAACATCAGTAACAAAGGCGAGCAAACAAACCTCGCCATATTTCAATCCTTGAGCGTTTAGGGTTTAGGGTTTAGGGCCCCCAGGGGCCCTCTGGGCACCAGTGGGGGCCCATAGAGCGTTCAACGCCGGCTCAAACACAAGCGTTTAGAGTGTAATGCTGAAGGTATAGGCTTTATGGTGTAGGGTTTAGTGCTTAGGGTTTAAAGTTTAGGGTTTGGGGTTTTCTGCAGGATGGAGAGGAGGGAGAAGGTGGCCCATCAAGCCATAGCGTCTTCAAGGTGAGCTTGCACAATATCTTCCCGGTATCAAAACCCTAAACCCTCAACCCTAAAGATGTCGCCTGCAACGGCATGCCTTTTCCCGGGACTTAGGGTTTAGCTGCTACCCTACATCCTGAAGTCTGGGCTGCGTTTGCCTTTTCAGCAGTTTGTGCCTCTCTATGCCCCAAACCCTAAACCCTAAACCCTCGTGCTTGTGTCTGCAGCGACACGCAGCTGAGAGAAAAGAGGTGAAACACCAAATTGCATTGTTGAAGCAGCGGCGGAAGAAGCTGAGGAAGAAGTTCCCAAAGGAGGCAGCGGAGAAGAGAGAAATCAACAAGAAAATTAAAACCCTAATCAAAGATATTACAGACAAGCAACAGAAAGAACTCAAGGAACTCGGGATTGCTAAGGGCGCGGAAACCAATGAATTCGCTGGCGAAGATCTCGACATCGACAACTGACACACGCTGCTGCAACAGCAGCAACAGCAACAGCAGCAGTAGCAGCAGCAAGGATAGCATTTAACAGCAGCAACAGCGGCAAAAGGAGTGTCGTTGAGAGCTGCCGACGCTGCGGTTGATGTTTTCTAATTTTTTTCTCTTCCTGCATTTTCTCAATGGCTCTAAACTCTAGGCCCTGTCTTGCGCCCTTTCATCAAACTCGCAAAGTGGCGATGGTTTAGGGTTTAGGGTTTAGGGTGCTGTCACAAGAATACCGTAACTACCAATTTCGTGCGGAGGTTCGCCTTCCGTTTCTTTAATTTGTCTTTTCGAAGGCGAAAGGAGAAGTAGAAGAACCGCAACTGCATGTACACCTTGATGTACAGCCAGGTGAACGTTTGTGCTGACGATACTAGCAGTACCGGCTGCTTTCTCACAGCTGTACAGGCATTGAATCGCTGAATAGGAATAAATGCAGGAGATTCTATAGGGAGCAAACCAAAGCTCTGCCTCCTTTTTGCTTCTAAGCAGTGTCGCCTTGGACTGCGCCTTCTTTTTAGGTTTTTCTGTTGTTACTTCCATCTGCTCCATCTGCGGGCTTGCTGCAGAAATTGCCTTGTTGAGTTTAGAGGTAAAAGCAATCTCTTGAGAGCAACGCTTCTAGAGTGGCAGTAATATATTTGTATGTGTACGTTGCATTTGCATTATATATGCAATATCACTGCTGCTTATTATGTTTACATTCAACTTTTTGCTGGCATTTGTTCTTGGCATTTGTATTTTATACAGTGTATTATTGCAGCTGCGTTTTGTATTTATCCATGGCGTTTGTAGTATATTTGCTATATAGTATATATGATATTGTATATAATATTTCATAGTATCATATGCAAATTTCATCCATTATTTTATGGTACGCTTTTATTTGTGCATGGCTTTTGTATTTTTTGATGTACCCAATATTTATACAGAGGTGAACGTTCCTATGTTTCTATTTATGAAGCAAACGCTCAGCTTCAGCTGCTGCAACCTCCGTCGAGTCACAACAGCAAAGAATCTGCGGACAGAACTTCAGCGTCAAGCAGTGGCTTTGCTGGCTTTTCACAGCTGCTGTAAGCCCTACAACAAGAATATCCAAAAGTGCTGAGTGCTTCTGAGAAGTTCGAACTTGGCATCTTGTGCAAATGCCTGCGTTAACCCCAGGTTCTATCCAATTTAGGGTATAGGGTTTACGGTGTACGGCGAAGGGTCTTTAGTTTAATGTCGTTCCTGCCCGAGCAGCGCTTCTGAAGCTGCAGGGCACTCCTTCACCCATTTGTATGCAGGCCCCCTCTTCATCTTTTCTGAATTCACGCCTTTAATGAGAGATCCTACTAAATATCGTACGTGGAGGCTGCGTGGTTTATTTGCAGAGCAGCTATCGAAGAACCCACCTATGTAACCCCAAGGCTGGCCTTGAATTTGTCCTTAGTATTTAGTTTTCTACTTGCTTTTTTCAAGAGTTTCTAATTAAGAACTATCAAGGGGAGGCGCAGCAGAGACTCAACCAGCGGCGCGGCAGCTGCTGCATGTTGGTGGGGCTTCTTGACAGACAGACCACTGAGAGTGAAACCCGTGTCAGTGCAATGCAGAGCTTGTAAAGACTCTCTCTGCATTTGTTTGATGCAGCATTTGTTTGGAGTACCCAAAGGAACATCGGAGCTACAGTCGAACTTGTGCACCTGGGGCCTATAAAGAGGTTTCCTCAGCAGACCGCTTCATTTCTTTCTCTTCTCCTCCCTAGATAAATCAAAATGCTGCTCTCTCTCTCTCCTTAACCCTGCGAATGTCGCAAGCGACCCCACGGGCTGTGTTTGCTGGCTAGTGGCGGAGGTCACCAAAGTGACCTCCTCCTCTTGAGAAGCGAGCGCCTCTCTATGGAGCTTATTGATCTGCTGAGCCTCCTCCCGTTTTCATTTAGGGTTGCTGCGTGCATTAAAACAACCCGGATACGCCTTATGACTGCCTAAACAACTGAGGAGAGCAGAAGGGAGGCGGCGGCGGCTCTCCGCAGCACACCGCGCGCGAAGGTTTGCTGCATGAGTTTCAATAAATCTCCCCCTGTACAACAAAAACAGAGACACTGAGAAGTGCTGCTGCAAACTTCTCGCGAAAATGGCGTCACTTACGCCGCGGCACAGGTGGATGGTGTCGCAATTGGTTTCCTCTTTTGATTTGACGGAATTCGAACCGCTCGTTGAGGGCTACTTTAGAGACCAGTTTGCACCAAAAGTAGACCCCTTCCTAAAAGGAACTGCAGCTACACAGCACTTGGTCTTCTCCTACAAAGCCAGAAACACCCAGTCAGCTGCGCACTCAGACATTCCAGGAAAACTCATCTGCTCAGGTGCGACGGTTAGGAGAAAACACTGAAAACAGCAGCTGCCTATGTTTTGAGACGTCCAAAGCACAACTGCTGCAGAAACAAAATGCATGAGTAGGCGTAGGTCTATTAATGGGAGAAAGCGGCTAGTAATGCCCAGCAATATTGTGCATAACACACTTTTCCCCTCATGCTTGAGGACGCACCACCATACCCGCAGGTTCAAAAATCGGTAGAATTCATCTCTGTGTCGGGGTGTATCGGTGGCTTTGTGCTCCAGAAGGTGTTTCAGAGGAGCCAGACAGCAAGCATGTGTACTTCATTCGAACGGTTCCTTTCGGGAAATCGTTGAATCTGAACACAGCAGCAGACGCCGAGCTCCTCTTCGGTGAACTTCCAGATATGGCTCTCCAGGGCCTCCACACCACATTATCCAGCATCTTCCTTCCTGCAGTTGAGCACTTCGATAACTCTGACTGGTAAGCTGAGAAAGAGGGAGGCGGCGAAGGCCCTTTTCAGCATGAAGGCAGCAGGCAGCGCACGAGCTTCGCTTGCACGATACTGCTTTCTCGTAAAACAAAAAGGCAGAAAGAGTGGCACTCGCTGTTTGAGCCGAGAAAAGAAAATGAATTAACGGTTAGAGTCCGTACAGAATCACTACGGAGTTCCAACCTTTTAAATAACAGTGAAAAGTTTAGATGGAATTCCCTCAGGAAGAAGTGTCCTCAAGAACAGCGCAGCGAGCTTCTTTCGTGTACTCGCACTTTCTGCAAGGAGTTGGGAGAGGCAATTGACTCCCTTGCTCATGGCATTCAGCTGAGGAGGCCGGATCCGAGGTGACTGAGGAGGCCGTTCTGCTTAGAAACTTAGATGCCTCCCAACCCTAAACCCTAAGCACTAAACCTCGACTTATCGAAAGCAGCACCTGCACTTTCGAACCCTGATGGTGAACTTTCACAGGTTCTCTTTAGCTGAGATGAGAAGGGATTACACAGCAGCTGCCAAGGACCCCGATGTGGTGGAACACTTTGAGGAACTCCTAGATGATTGGTGCCGGCAGATTGAGAAATACCTGGAAACTTCACTGGATAAAGGTGCAACCCAGGCCGATAGTGGCCCCCGCAGCGAGGCAAGGAAATTTTGAATATCATCGTTGCGCCACGATTTAAGCCCCAGCTTGCGGCAACCTTGAGTGACTTCAGGTCAAAAGACGTTTCGATCTGTGCATGGGATTACGGTTGCGTTGCGAGAGGTCTCCTTTCCTTTCTTTGCTCAGATTGAGAGCTGGAGAAGTCGAATGCGGAAACTTAGTTCGATAATTCAACAGCTAAAGAGCGACGTCTGCCACACTGTATTTCAAGTGCTGCATGCAGTCACTAAAGTGGGTCGACACCTCTTCGGCCCCGCTTTAGCAGAGCCCTCTAAATCTCTTCTCCGCTTTGTTTACTGGCAAGGAGTCCCTCAGCTGAGGGTCGGGCAGTGTATAAATCGGCAAAAGGTGTACATGCGAGTGAGCGTGCTAACAGCTGACTACAGGAGTTTCACCCAAGTCGCGCCAAGCTGTGTTCCACACGCTTAGACGCTGCAAACAGCTCGACGTCGCCATTACAGAGGCATTCAACGAGGCTAAGGACAATGTGAAGTATTTGACAACGCTGGAGAGATTCGTAGATCCTCTTTATTCTGGTACCACTCGTTAGCGTGTCCATACGACTGCACAGTTGGAACCCATTATGCACACATTCCTCATATTCCCTTCACGACCTAGCGTTTGCAGGTTGTGTAAAAAGGTAAAGGGAAAGGGCTATCCTAACCTGCCCTCAGTGCCGCGTATTTTCTGCCTCCAGGAACCCCCGCAAGTATTCTTGAAAGTCTTAGCCCACTGATGAACGCAATAACTATGATCTACTCTATTTCCCGGTATTACAACACAACTGAACGTATGGTTGCCTTCTTTGCAAAGATAACGAAACAGGTAAGCTTCTGTTTCGGCTTCTGAATATGCAGGCCTGCAAGTCAAGTAGTCATACGACTGGGCGCATGGGGTTATTGCCGCTAGTTAAATTATGAATGCTTGTTATCAATGACCTGGCTGTTGTGCTCGAACGCAGATGATAGCGAATTGTCGGTCATGGCTGATGAGCGGCCAGCACCACGAGGCCCTATGGGAGCGAGAGCCTACAGTTATCATCCCAATGCTGGAATACTGCTTAACGCTAAACAACGAGTACCATGAACAGTACCGGGCTACGAGGGAAAGTCTTGTGGCGATCCCAAAAGGAAAGCAGCTCGACTTGTCTGAACAAGAAATCTTCAGCAGGATGGATCTCTTCTGCAGGAGGCTCCAGAAGCTGATAACGATGGTAGATAAGATTTGCCTTTTCTTCCCCAAGCGTTGCGTTCAGCTCTGTGAGGCTACTCTAAAACTTACATGGCTAGAAACGGGCGTCATTGTACTCTGTGTGTGGTCTCGTGCATGTGATGCCTTCGGCAGTACTCAACCGTTCAGCAGTTCAAGAACATTGGTGAGCAGCGATTTGAAGGGATGGATGTATTCGTAGACCGGTTCAAGGTGCGTTAAACTGGCTAGCACAGAATTGCTAGATCATGAGTAGTACCCTTTCATAGGGTGCATTCATACGATATGCAGGCTTTGCTTGCTTAACTGCTTACACTAGTACACGTGTTAAGTCCATCACTGCCTGCAAATTGCGCCCCCCTTGCTGTGGGCTCAGTCGATTTTCAATGACTTTAAAGTCAAACGCCACGACCTCCTAGACTTCTACAACAACCGCTTTGACCGCGACTTTGTGGAGTTCTCCGTTCGGATTTCGGACCTGGAGAGCGATATGCTACCTCAGATAAACATGGTATATAGAATAGGAATACTGTCCTTAGCCGCAGTGCGTTTCAATCTAGCTGGCTTTTACTACCATGGAAATTAAAAAACGTTTTGTATTGCAATGCAGATATTCGAGACGACGTCATCAATCGACGAGTCACTGAGGTTGCTCCAAAAGCTGCAAGAAACAGTCTACAGCGAAAGCCTTAAGGCAGAGTTAAAGGGCAAAATCAGCCTGATTATCCACCGCTACAGCGTTGAACTCGTTCAGGTACGAATACGCCTTAACCTTTTCACTGAGAAAGAGACTTGGTTATACACTCTCCCTGAAAGGGTGCTGTTTTCGTATCGGCGCTGACGCGCAGATTCAAGAAGAATACGAACGGCGCAGGGCTAACCCACCGGCGAGCAAAGACATGCCCCCCATTCCTAACAGTATTATTTGGGCTCGGGACCTGTTGAAGAAGATTGAGGTAGCTTTTCCCTCTGAGGGAGTTTTGCGTTCTGTGGAGGAACGGTTTTCTTTACTTTGGTACTACCTCTAAACAAAGGCAGAGCAGAACACACTCCCTACAGCATGTAGTAAGGGCGGCCGTGGATCTTTTCTATTCCATTCTCAGGACCCCATGAAACAGTTCCAGATGTACCCATCTGCTCTAGCAACAAAGGAGGGAAAGCGCACAATCAAACTGTACAACAGAGTGAGCTTGTCGTTTACTGATCCTCCAACGCACGCACATACTGAGTTTTCTCAAGCGTTTGAAGTGCAACAGTGACATATCAGGCTGCGTAGTGGAAATTTCTAGCCTCCGTGGAGATTGGGCAGTATGTGTGAACTGCGCAGCATCTTCTCAATGCTGCTTCCTGCACAGGTGGCTGAGACACTAGTCGAATATGAACTGAGGTGGCACCAAGCTTGGACCGAGTCCGTTCAATCCACTGCGGATTGCTTGAACAGCACCCTACTCGTGAGGAACCCCAGTACTGGAAAGCTGTCGATTAACTTTGACGGTGATATCGCGCGGTTAATTCGTGAGGCGAAGATCATGGAAAGGATGGACATGGAGATACCGGACAGCGGCCGGATAGTGTTCCTTAGGGAGAAAAAGTTGAAGTGGTGCTACGACGAACTAAAGTTCATTCTCGATGTGCGCAAGTGCCCCAAGTACTCGTCAGATTTCTTCTGCGGTAGAAATTGACATTTTAAGCGTGTGTATGCGTGAATGCCACCTAGCGACCCAGGCAAGCCACTTCGGCTCCTCCCGGGCATCTGTGGGAAAGGAGAGTGACGCTTCAGGCACATAGCTTTCGATGCTGACATGTGCGGGTAAATTAGTGCTGTGCTGCACTTCAGGAATACCAAAGGGTGTCTTCGGCAATTCGTCCGGTAACTGCAGGACTCTTACAAAGCCATCTTGACAATTTTGAGAAACAGCTTGATCCAGGACTTAATAGTTTAACATGGGCATCTCTAAACATTGAAAGCTTCTTGCAGTCTGCAACGAGTGCGTTGGAGAAGCTGGACCTGCTAGTTGTGACAGTTAATGACATTGTCGAGAACAGGATTGAGAACAACATCAAGGTGGGTGGACACATGTTTCTCTGAGTTCTCCAAATATCCGCTGGATATGCTCAGAAAGAGAGACTCACCTGCGGGTGCGATGCTGTGCAGTCTTTGGGTGGAACTCTCCTAGTCGATCTGCCGGCCCCAGGGGAAGTAATATCCCTTAATCGCTTCGTCGAGATGCAAGAGCATCACGTTGCCAAGTCTGCGGAGCTCCTCAATGCTCGCTCTCTGGAAATCGAGAACGCCGTTAGAGACTTGCTTGAAGTTATTAGCAAGCAGGCGTCGGAGCAGAAAAGCGTTCCCGTGAGCCCGTGCAATTGTTTGCCAGTCAGAAGGAAAGTCTAGCTTCATTTCCCGCGCAATGCATTGCCCATAAGCGGCAAGCTGATGGTGAATATATCTACAGGACGATCCAGCTGTCCGCTGCTGCTTGCTCCATGACTCTGCAGGCTGGCTTTATGGAGGAAGCTGATAAAATTAAATCGCAATACGAATGGAATCTGTACAAAGCCATTTTGCTTGCCACACGAAGATCATTTGACTTTCTAAGGCGCCAGATGTACTCGGCGCCACAGGGTAATCTGCCGTGCTGACTCTCTTCTAGCCAAGGCGCAAACCCAGACAATTCAAACATTTTTCTGTATAATATTCTCCACTTGGAACAAGTTGTGCCGAATGCGCTCCCCCCTACTGCCCTTTTGACTTTGTTTTGCAGATTCGGGGGCCTCTGACTGTCCAGTAAACGCCATCTTTGAAGTTGACATTCAACTAGACGGCACTGGGGTGCGGCTTCACCCATCTATTGATGAGTTTCAGGAAGCCATAAACCGCGCGGCGGTGGCTATTCTCAACTGTTCAAAGTGCATTCGGCAATGGGGTACCCAAGAGAGGGGAGATGGAGAAGATACTCCCGTTTCGCCCCGGGCTAATGGCTTTAGTTCGCGTATTAAAGATGAAAGGGATATCCAGAAGGTCCTGCTGGGATTCTTCGGATCTATTCAAAACATTCGAGACGAGGTGGCCAAGTATTTTGTCAAATTTGATGTGAGGCCATGTCATTACGTCCTGTACAGTTATAGTGCAAGCATTCATAGCACTCACTCATTTTGAGTGGGTGTAGAGGCGGTAGCAGCTGTCAGGTTTCTTTTCTTTTCAGGTATTCAAATGGCTGTGGATGGAGCCTTGCAAGGACAACTACGTGGCATTTGCAAAACAGAATCCGTCATTGGAAGACTTCGAAAAGAAATTAAAGAGTTTTCAAGAAGTCGAGACTCGGCTACTTTCAATGGAACAAGCGAAGCCCATTGGAATGCTTCTGATAAACAGTTCGGCTTTGTACCCTCAGGTATAAGTGGCTTTGCGGCGACTCAGTGGTCGTGCTAGAGAAACAACTCACCGTTTCTTCACCAGAACATGCGGTTGGCTTAGTTGTCCATTTGTCAGAACTTAGTTCATGCAGGCACCTATAGGGAAAAATAAAAGCTAGAGAAAAACCTTTGTGTACGGGAGCATAAGTGAGTTCTCTGCTCAGGCATGCGTGCATGTATCAGATGATGCATTCAAGATACTTTCGGCTTCGTGTTGCATGCTGCTCAGTTGATAGAGCTAGGTCGCCGATGGAACATTTATTACCTCGGCAAGTTGCACGTCACTGCAAAGGAACGTTTAGAAGCACTAACGGAACAAATACGGCAGGGATACAAGGGCCTCCACCGTCCAGTGACTGATATAGATGCATTACGGCACGTTATGGATACACTCACATCGATAACCCAACAAGAATCGGGTACGCGAGTCCTTTCGTCGCCCACGTATGGCGTTTTACTATCGAATAGCATCGTCAGCTAACAGGGGCAGTCATCGGTTCGTCCTCAGTGGTCTGCTTGCTTATCCGAGATTCGTCGCAGACATAGAGGCGCAATTCGAGCCCGTCTTTACGATGTACAGTATGATTGACCGCTACCTGCCTAGCAATGTGACTCTCATCGACAAGGATGAACAAGATCAGAGGCTGCTTCTGCGTTCCTCATGGTCGAAGCTGATCGACGAGGCGCAGGAAGCCCAGGCGAACCTGCAGAAGATGCAGTCGACATACAAGCGGGAACTCATTCTTAACATTAATACGCTGAAGGCTGATTCTAAGCAGTTCCGAGAGGACTTTGTCAAAAATGGACCGGCTTGTCCTGGAATAATGCCTAGGTTAGCAGTAGCATACGATTCTTTTATTCGGAGCTTGGTTGCATGTATATATATATATATATATATGCAACTCTTCATGCACGCCATTACACGCACGGGCAGCTGTAAAAACGTTGCGGAAAGATGTGGCTGTGCTACCGCCATTTTAAAGGGAGGCCGTGGAACGAGTGAAACGGTTCAAGGCAGAATGCGATGTTCGAGCTCGCAAGCAGGAGATCTACCATGCAGGAGAGGAACTGTTTGGCTTCCCTCACCAGGCCTACCCAGAGCTCGAACAAACAAAGAAAGAGCTGGCGAACTTGAGCCTGTTATACGACATTTACGTTCAAGTGAGCCGGTGCAGAGTGGTTCATAAGGAAGTCTCCTGAATGGAGCAAGCTAACTCCAAGAAGACTTCGTTGTGGCGAGGGAGAGCGTGATGGCTCATTCTCGTTTTTTTGCAGGTAGTAGACACTATTAAAGAATGGAAGGATATTTTGTGGGCAGAAGCTCCTCCTCAAATTCCTTCCATGACTGAGAGAATCCAGTTCTTTTCGGATGCCTGCAAAAAGTTGCCCAAGCAGCTCAAGACGTCAGATGCCTTCGCTGAACTCAAAAAAGAAATCGACGATTTCACAGAGGTACTCCACTTCACGTCAGTTCCAGAATACGCCCCTCCTGTGGCACTAACGTAATTCAATATGCGCGGCCAACGAATGTTATCTCAGGTTCTTCCACTATTAAAAGAGCTGAGCAAGCCTTCTATCGTGGCCCGCCACTGGAAGCAGGTTGAGGAAATTACTGGAAAATCTCTTGGCATTGACAATGAAATGACACGTTTGCAGGCCCTACTCGATGCAGACTTACTTCAGTATAAGGTACATACTACTTTAACAGCTCAATAGCAATTAGACACGGGCAGTTCCCCTCAGCCCCCAAGCGGCCTGCTGTCTCATTCCTCCCTACTTCGTACGCAATTTGTATTGTGCCTATAGGATGACATATTTGACATTTGCGAGTCTGCCGATAAGCAACTGGTCATCGAAGGCAAATTAAAAGATATTGAAAACATGTGGAAAACGTGCATGTTTGAATTTGGCAAGTGGAAAACTCGGTAAGCTATGCCAGGGGATATTTCGACTGCAGCTGGAGCTCTTGCCCTTTACAGACAGTGGGCTAAGCCCTGGTTCTTCACGTTTGCATACTCTAGTTGGACATATCCACTGCAGTATATTCAGAAATCCATAAAAGATCTTGCGTGTGCTGGTCGTTTTTGTCCTTTAGTGACTACTACTGCATTCTACAAGGCGGGCGTGTGGCAGAGGTCCAGGAGTTACTTGAGGAATCGCAAATGACATTAAATGCGATGAATGCCATGCGTCACGTTATGCCATTTAAGGAGAGGGTTGTGAACATGCTCAGCACTCTTTCGGATGTCGCAGGCATGTCCTTGCCACCACATGCTGCAGCTTAGGCTTCAAAGCCTCTCTCTTCAGCGGCTAGTGATGCGCGTATGCCTTGTGTAGCCTACGCTGGCCTGCAGACACGATTGAAAGTTGGACGAAGGTACAGGTTCTCTGGACATCGCTCGAGCCTGTCTTCACTGGAGGCGACATCGCAAAGCAGATGCCAGGAGAGGCAAAACGGTTCCACGCCATTGATAAAGATTGGGTAAGCCATTTCCAAACTGCACCGGCAAAAGTGTGTGGGGCGGGTACCGGCTTAAGATTGATGCGCTCATAGGCGTCCCAACCGATCTTGCATCAAATGATTTTACTGATTACCATGCATGTACTGTGTGAATGAGCTAACAGACGAGGATTATGGCAAGAGCATCGGAAACGCTGATAGTGGTGGAATGCTGCCAAAACGAACTACTGCGGCAGCTGCTTCCCTCGCTGTTTGCTGGACTAGAGAGCTGTCAAAAATCACTAGAGTCTTACTTGGAAGGCAAAAGGAATAAGTTCCCGAGGTTTTACTTCGTTTCCAATCCAGTTCTCCTTAAAATCCTTTCCCAGGGATCTGACGCAGAAACGGTCCAGGATGACTTGGAGAAACTGTTTGATGCAATTTCTAGAGTACGCGTTTGTTGGCGTCCGTTGGGTCTATTCGTATAATTGGCTTCATCACAATCCCTCGAACTGCACTCAAGGTGGCAGAAGGGGCCAAACACAACGGCGGGTTGTCCTCTCCGCTGCAGGTGGAATTTGACAAAGCAGATCGGAAAAAAATTACAGCCATAAAGGCTGTGGCTGGGTCGGCTGAAGAAGTTGTCCCTCTTAGCGCTCCTGTCAAAGTGGAAGGGAACATAGAGGACTGGCTGCGCTCGCTAGAGTCTCAAATGCAAAAATCAATTAGAAGAGAATGCAAATATGCTGCACACGAATCGGGGTCTATCTACAGCCAAATGACGCTGCGGGAGTTCTGCGACAAATATATCGCCCAGGTTTGCTTCGGCTCTCTCCGGTTCATGGTGCTGCTCATGTATTCTTCTGTACCTTGGAAAGAACTGAAACCATAACGCACTCCATGGTGATCCGGTTACAGAGTCTTAGTTGCGCTGTTAGGAGTAGCGAGGTACTGTGGGATAATTGCTGGGCGCAGGTTTCACTGCTCGGACTTCAGATGATATGGACAGCCGATTGTCAGGAAGCTCTTGATAAGATATCTAGGGAGCGCGACAGAACAATAATGGCACAGACAAACAAGGTGTTTGCCACTATGATGGCAGACCTAGTGCAGTGCTGTCTCTCCGACCTCGGGACCAGGCTCAACCGCACGAAATACGAAACGCTTGTTACTATTCACGTGCACCAGGTCTGCTACAAACATTTTTGGGTTGTTTTTGTTAATGATTTGTACCCTGGATTCAGTTGTATGAAACGAAATTGCAGCGATGCCCTTTCGCTGGTGAGTTCATAGGACCAAAACATGTAGTCAATGCATGTTTGTAATTGCTTTGAAATTCATTCAGCGCGATGTATTTGCGGAGTTGTGGAAGAAAGTAAAGGAGCACCGGCTCAAGGACTCAAGTGACTTCGAATGGCTTAAGCAAACTCGTCTGTACTGGAACAATGATGCAGAAAGTGCATTGATTTCTATTGCGGACGTAGAATTTTCGTACTGTTATGAGTATCTTGGGGTAAAGGAGCGCTTGGCCATCACTCCGCTGACTGATAGGCGAGTCTGGGCACGATAGCTACGGACGCTTGTTGCCGGAAAATGCTCATTAACAGAAGATACCACCAAGATACCACCAAAACCTCCACAGATCTATAGGCCTATCCGGCAGAAATGAATAGGGAGCCCTCATGAACTGGGGGGAGTAGACGTTATGCATGCAGGTGTTACCTTACATGCTCCCAAGCGCTTGGCATGTTTTACGGAGGAGCACCTGCGGGTCCTGCCGGGACTGGAAAGACGGAAACCGTTAAAGATATGGGACGGACACTTGGTGTGTTTGTGGTCGTTACGAACTGTTCGGATCAACACCGGTTTACAGACATGGCAAAGATCTTTAAAGGTCTATGCCAGAGTGGCTTGTGGGGCTGTTTCGACGAATTCAATCGAATCGACCTAGAAGTATTGTCAGTCGTCGCTATGCAGGTTTGTTGGCGTTTGCTGCAAGGGCGGCTGTTGGTTGACCAGTTAGCGCAAAACTGCCGCAGAACTGGAACAGAGTTATCAGCAATGCTAACGGTGCCCCTAGGGGTATGTGCATGGGCTGAATTTAGCGTAGACAGAAGCTTACGTCGAACGTGTGTGCATGGGTGAATTCAGATAGAATCTATAACTCTGGCAAAAAAGCAAGCTCTCAAGTCCTTTTTGTTTCCCGGGGAATCAGCTCCCATTAAACTCGTCCCAACTACAGCCTACTTCATTACCATGAATCCTGGATATGCGGGAAGACAGGAACTGCCTGAAAACTTGAAAGTCTTATTTAGGAGTGTATCCATGATGGTGCCTGATCGGCAGATTATTATTAAGGTGTGCTACTTTTCTGGTAGTTTGAACTTGATCACCTCAAGGCGCTTTTTGTGGGATTTTTCTGGAGATTACTATGGAGTTTGCCCTACTCTTTTTCTCAACTCATAATGCCCAGAGCGAGACCTCACGCACCACGTTGAATGAATGCTACTTTTGGCCAGCATATGGGTAGCATCGAACTTTTGCAAAAGGTTCGCCAGCTCATCAAAATTACTAGCAATTGGTGCGGCTGCCTTTCTGCAGGTCAAGCTGGCCTCAGTTGGGTACATGGATATTGACAATCTTTCGAAAAAATTTAAGGTTTTGTACGGCTTGTGCGAGGAGCAACTTTCAAAACAGAGGCACTACGACTTCGGTTTAAGGAACATTCTCTCCGTGCTGAGAACAGCGGGTGCTACGAAGCGGAACGAGCCTGAAGCTGACGAAGAAATGCTCCTCATGAGGTAGAGAACAGCCTGTTCTTTTTTAAATCCATAATAATAGTCGACTAGTTCTCGATACTTTAAGGACGCCGCACTTACAGGACCTGTTTGTGAAGAACCTGCATGCAGAACCCTTCGTGATATGAACCTCTCGAAGCTGGTTGCGGACGACGTCCCGTTATTCCTTTCTCTTCTCAACGACATATTCCCCCGCCAAGCTAACCCACCAAAGAAGGTGTACCAGGAAGTCGAAACTGCTGTCTTGCAGGAGCTTGAAAAACGTGGGCTTGTCCGAACCGATGAGTTCTTGATAAAAATCATGCAGCTTTACGAGGTACAGAGATCCACCACAGGCGTGCACATAGGAGAGCATTTAAGTTCTGGTTGCTCTGGTTGCTATTTCCGGTGGGACTTCCTTTAGAAGAGTATCATACGGTGCTCCCATTGACTCTGCAGACCTCTGTTGTCCGTCACGGGTTTATGTTGGTTGGCGATTCCTGCTCGGGGAAAACAACGATTGCTAATACGCTCACAGCGGCACTGACAGCCATCGGGCAGCAGACACGCATTGTAACGATGAACCCGAAGGCCATTACTGCCCAACAGATGTACGGTGTTAAAGACCCAATATCTGACGAATGGACTCCTGGTATCTTTGCTTGGATGTGGGCTCGGTACAACAACCGCTCGTTAAAGTTCAACACTTGGATTACTTGCGATGGGCCAGTAGATGCTATTTGGATTGAGAACCTCAACACGGTCTTGGATGACAACAAGATATTGACTCTCGCGAACAACGATCGTATTCCCATGACGGAAAATACGAGGTGTGGACGAAACACACACATTCCTGTCATGGCAAGCAGCTAATAGTCGATGGATTCGTTGAGTTTGGCCGTAGGTAATGGAGGCACCCCCTAGTCAAATTTCCAGCTTAGAGGTGGCATAGTGGATGAGCCGTTGTTGCATTCAGGATCGTTTTTGAAGTCGAAAATCTCAACAACGCATCTCCCGCTACCGTCAGTCGTGCAGGCATCATCTTTGTCTCCGCTTCTGACCTAGGATGGAAGCCTTTGATCAGAAGCTGGCTGGAGAGGCTCTCTTCAGAAAGTCCTGAAGGAGCACAGAAGTCAAAGATCATGAACGAGCTATTCGACAAGTTAGCATTGCCCGCCCAAGCTTGAGTTAGCATCTCTCCGTACTTGACAAACGCCAGTGGCACTTTGCTAATCTTTCTTTTGCTCGGGCACCAGGTGTGATACAAGTGTCGATCCTTTGCGCTTGTGCTTTGGTGGATCTTCAGGTACATATGCTCGTCCCAAGTATACGACTTCGCGCTTAGGGATTGCACCCACGTGATGCAGATTACTCCCGTCGTGATGACCGTGCAACTTCTTAACCTTCTCAGCAGCATGCTGATGTCATATGAAGGTGCCAGTGAAGGCATGACTCAGCAAGACTATGAAAACATGATGGTCTATGCCATAGCATGGTCTTGCGGCGCCCTATTTGAACCAGAGGACAGGCAAAAATTCTGCACATTCTTAAGGGAAAAGATGTCGTCACCACACCAGTGCGAAGCAGGGCTTACAATTTTTGACTACTTCGTCGACCCCAAGACCAAGAAATTTCGGAAATGGGCAGCCCCTGATTGGAGCCCACCGAAGGGGGCTTTCTCTTTCTCATCAATTCTTATTCCGACTCTTGATTCAGAAAGGTTTGTTGATGCGGGAGCATATGGGACCAGGGTATAAATGTGCTGTCTCGAAGCAATATTGCCGTAACAGAATGTTTTCCGGCAATATGATGCCGTCTGTCTGCTTAATTCTACAGGGCTGAATATATTCTTCAACTCATGACTAGTTTGCCGCAATCAAGAAATCCGCCGTCATTTCAGTCAGTTCTGTTGCTTGGAGGCCCCGGGACAGCCAAAACCTCTACAGCGCTTATGTTCTTGGAGAAGCTCGATGATGGCGAGACCTTGTGGAAGAGGGTGAATCTTTCGTCAGCTACTCTACCTGAGCGTTTTCAACAAACCATCGAATCTAATCTAGAGCGGAAGACAGGGAAGACCTACTGTCCTCCAGGTGGCAAACAGATGGTCTTTTTCCTCGATGACCTCTCCATGCCATTTGTAAATGCTTGGGGGGATCAAGTTACTCTGGAACTGTTACGCCAGTTAATCGAACAGGGAGGTTTTTACTTCCTGGAAAAAGACAAGAGGTATACTTCCGTTTCTTCCTTCGGCAACGAATTAAGCCATGCCTCATGATTAGCTGCAAGTGCAATCTGGCTCAAATTCCCTGACAGTTCTTCGGTGTTACTGGTTGGTAGTGTGTTTATAGGGGCGACTTCAAATCTATCATTGGTCTCCGGTATATAGGAGCAATGAATCATCCTGGTGGTGGCCGTAATGACATTCCAAACCGTCTGAAGTCTAAATTTTTCTCTTTGAACATGATCCTACCGTCGTTGACGTCTGTTGACAACATATACGGGTCGATGATTAGAAGTAGAATTACCTTGAAGAATGGTGCGACTCCGCTGGTGAGAATTATAGCACTCAAACAGATATTATGTCTTTGAATGTTCAATTAGGCCGCTAAATTGCGGGGAAAAGGGTGCTGGATTATTTTTTGTTTGCGTTTACGCTAAATTAGGTCGTCGAAATGTCATCGAAGCTCACGCAGGCTACCATAGACGTTTGGCTTGAAGTAAAAAAGCTCTTATTGCCTACGCCTAGCCGCTTCCACTACATCTTCAACCTACGCGACCTTTCACGGGTGTTCCAAGGAGTACTGAACTGCCCCCTCGACGTAGTAAACACTTGTGAACACTTTCTTGCCCTCTGGAAGCATGAGTGCACCAGAGTGCTGGCGGATAAACTATGCCGGAAGACCGACAAGGACATTGTTGAAAAGGCCATAAATGATGCATGTGCCAAGCATTTTGGCCAATCGCTGCAGAAAGCAATTGTCGAGACGCCATGGTAGCTTCTCTCCCCCCCTACGTCTTTATTGGCACTTGCGAAGTCACACTGCAACATCCACAAACCACACGCTCTTATGTATGGCAGGACGACGTCTGGCTGCCGCTTGTCTAGCTTTTTATCAACAAGCCGTTAGCCAATATTTCCCTACATTCCTGAAAGTCGTTGATCGCGACACTTGTGCTGTGGGTATGCTGGGGCATTGCAGGTTTGCCGACTTCCTGAGGGAGCCCGGTGAAGACGAGTCGGGGGAACTGCTACCTGCTCAGAAGGTTTATGAGCCAGTGCCTAATCTGCAACTCGTCAGAACCAGAGCAATGGAGTATCTACAGCGCTATAACGAAGAAAACCCAGCAAAGGCGGCAAACTTAGTTCTATTTGATGATGCACTAGCTCACCTGATGATCATTTCAAGAATCATCCAGGTACGGGAGGTCTCTGGGAGGACCTGCATATTCCTCCAAGGACTGTATACAGCCAATGAACGGGCGTAGGGGACGGACGTTCTACTCAGTGAGACTTGATGGACTTTGCTGCAGATGCCGCGGGGCTCGGCAATGCTAGTAGGCGTCGGCGGTTCCGGCAAGCAGTCGCTAACTCGCTTGGCCTCTTTCATCGCTGGTCATGCCCAGTTCCAAATCGCTATCACCAAGACATATAGCGATGGCGCCCTATTTGATGACTTCCGGGCACTATACGTAAATACTGGCCAGAAGAATATGCAGACGACGTTTCTTTTGACGGATCTGGAAATAAAGAGCGAAGGCTTTCTGGAGTACTTTAACTCATTCCTCTCGACTGGAGAAATATCCGGTCTGTTTGCCAAAGATGAAATGGATTGTACGTCATCTACAGGTCCCTATAGTTTTTGACCCCAGGTGCACACCGTAACAGCAAGGGAAGTTTCTACGGTGCTAGTGGGCCGCATGCATACATATCTGTTGCTCGCTAGTACGCTTGGATGTTTTACAGCTATGGTGGCCGACAGGAGAGCGGATTTCATCAAGGAATGCCCACACCTGCAGGAAACAATGACAAATATGTACAACTTTTTCTTGAACCGCGTCCGTGCAAACTTGCACATAGTCCTCTGCTTTTCCCCTTTGAGCAGGAAGTTTGCAGGTCAGCTCTGCATGTAGGTACGAAGTATTGTACCGGCAGCCGTACGTGTGATGCATCCAAATCAATCTGACGTGGTGGCTTCTCTCGGAGTATACGTTTGTCCATAGGTGGCATATGGTCCTTGGCCGCCCTTCGTGTATATTCCGTATGCACTAATACCACTTCGTTTCTGCTGAGTGGTTATGTGCGGGAACTGTTAGCGGCTGTATATTTGTACTGTGCGCACTGACTCTGTTTGACTTGTAGAGAGGGCACAGAAGTTCCCTGGGCTCTTCAGCTGCACGACTATTGATTGGTTTTTGCCATGGCCTGAAGCCGCCCTAGTTGCTGTCTCTTCGAGCTTTCTGGACAAATTCGAAATTGACGCAAGCGCCGAAAAAAAGCTTGTCCTGTACAATGTGATGGGCAACATACATAATAATGTGAGTCCAGAGAGGCTTCGTATACTGTCAAATTAATTTCTTTAAGAGAGCTTGTCGTTTTCCTGACTAAGGTTTCGTCTGATGTATTGCTGAGTATGTCGTCTAGCCAGTGAGCAGAATCACAGCATAAGACGCGTAAAAATGCTTTTGCCCGATGCCTCAGGTAAACAAAACGTGTGATGACTATTTCCGACGCATGAGGCGCTACGTCTATGTCACGCCCAAGTCCTACCTCTCATTTATCAATTTTTACAAGAAAGTCTACACGGAAAAGTTCGACGAAGTGAACAATCTGGAGCGCAGGTAAACCCCTAGCGTGAAGGCACCAACACTTGCATACTCACGGCCTTGCCTGGTGCGATGCCGTAGTTCCTAGCTTGGATTGAATATGATTCAGCGTTAACGTTGGTTTGAAGAAACTGAACCAGGCTGCACAAGACATTAAACAAATGAAGGTGCAGCTGAAGGCTGAAGAGAAGAAACTACAAGAGTCCGAAGTGCAGACCAACCAGCTTTTGGCCAGAGTACAAAGCGAATCTGCCAAGGCGGAGAAAAAGAGTCAAGGGGTGTGCATAGTTCTCATACGGAAGCTCCAGTTGGGAGTCCACTCTACGAAACGCTGCGTTTTTAGGTTCCTTCGGAACTTCTTCCCTATTGTGGATCTGTTAACTCTTTTGGCTCTGCCGTACGCGCAACGCAGGTGGCAGCATTCCGAGATGAATGCCTAAAGAACAAAGAAGAAATTGAACGGGAGCAAGAGGAGGCGAACAATGATCTACAGGCAGCTTTACCCTACCTTCGGGAGGCTGAAGATGCAGTCAAGTCCATCACTGCAAAGGACATAGTTGAGCTGAAAACGATGAAGACGCCCTCAGATATTATTCGCCTTGTTTTCGACGGCGTTCTCATTCTGCTGCAAAATCGGTTGGCAGATGTTAAGGCAGAGTCGAAGGTCATAAACAAGAAGCAGATTGACTTTATTCACGACTCCTTTGACGAAAGTGCGAAGGCAATGATGGCGGACGTGCATTTCCTTTCCAACCTCTTCGACTTTTCCAGGGTTAGCGCTAGCCCCTATTTGTTGTGCATTGTCTTCGCTGGAGCGCTGTCACGAAGAAGCCAGCATTGCAGCCAACATGTGCAAAGGAAATTAATTAATGGAGTAATTATTTTTTGATACTTAATGTGCTTTCCGTTGGAGTAGAAAGAAAAGGATAATATCAACGACGAGACCTGCGAACTCTTGTTGCCTTACCTTGAACTGGAGCATTTCAATCCAGCAGTTGCTAAGAAGGCATCAAATGCCGCAGAAGGTGAAGCATGCGTGCAACTGCTGTCGCCTAGTAGAGCATCAAACCGCTAATAACGCTCTGTTGGCCATGTCGTACAACGCCTATCTCGATGGCAGGGCTCGCATGTTGTGGGTAATTACTGTTCTGCAGGACTGTGCAAATGGGTTGGAGCTATGGTGATGTATCATGAGGCTGCAAAGATTGTGAAGCCAAAAATGGACTACCTGACAGTACAAACAGCAAGGTATTTTGCATTAACAAAGATTCGACATAATGTGTGTTACTCAAGCAGCTTGGGTTGCATTCACAGTATGTAGTATACAGTTTGACAGCAACAGCTTTCTTCTCCGTGTGAATGCGTGATGTAGGGTTGAGGTTGCGCTGCGTCAATTGAGCGAAGCGGAAGAAGAGTTGCGAAAAGCTCAGGCAGCGTTGGACGAAATCAACCGGCAATTCCAGGAGGCGCTTGCCTCGAAAAGAGAGCTAGAGCAAAGGGCGCAAGCAACGAAGCGTCGGATGGAACAGGCTAACCGGCTGATCAACGGACTCGCAGGGGAAAAGGCTCGATGGTTGGTACTCCCTGGTGTTCGCGTCTGCTCGACCGGTGTCTGTCGCTGCCCCAGATTATTATTCGTAAGCGGTTAGGTGGACTTTTTTTTGCAGGACAGAGGATTCGAACACTTTCGCTGAGAGGAGAAAACGGCTGGTTGGTGACATCCTAGTCGCGGCAGGATTCGTGTCCTATTGCGGCCCATTCAACGCCGAGTACAGGGAGTTGCTAAGGAAAGAGTTAGTCCACAATAAAAAATTATTGAGACCACCTGGCAGAGATTGCCGGCCCAAAAACATAAACTGCCTTGTATTTGCTAACGCCACTATACGGATGAGGAACGCTAATGAGTGCATTCCTTATCAGGTGCTGTCCTACGCAATCAGGGTTATGCTGAAGGATGCGAAGAATAATGGCATCCCTTGCTCTGAATCCCTTAACATCGTCGACCTCCTCGTCGATGAGGGAACGCGCGGCGAGTGGAACCTACAAGGCCTCCCCGCAGACGAGTTGTCTGTGGAAAATGCTATCATTGTGACGCGATCGGACAGGTATCCCCTGCTCGTAGACCCCCAGGGACAAGCACATAATTGGATCAAGAAAAAAGAAGAGAAAAGCATGAAGGGTTCTCGACAGTGTATAACGACAGCAACTGATCCAAGGTAATCCCCGCATGCTGCACTGCATCCCTGGCCTGCTGAACTACTGGCGTCGCAGCAGTGTTAAGCCCTACCCACCATTTTTCCAAATCTGCGAAGCATATTAGAGCCTCTATCCGCAATAGTCTGTACTCTTTGCATGCCCCGTGGTTGGAAATTATTTGAAGTGAATTGGCCTATTGAGAACGGTACTAGCCCAGCTACGGTTTTATTGTTCCAACCAGGTTTAAGGATAAGGTGGAGTTTTGCCTTTCTGAGGGGCTGCCAATACTGATTGAAAATCTTGGTGATAATGTGCCAGAAGTCCTAGATCCAATTCTTGAAAAACAGTTCCTTAAGAAAGGAAAGAGGCTTTATGTTACTTTTATGGACCAACAAGTGGAATACAATCCAGCATTTGCCCTTTACATGACAACGAAGCTGGCCAATCCCCACTTCTCGCCAGAGATCAATGCGAAGTGCACCATGATAGACTTTACAGTCATGCACGAAGGTAAGAACACAGCGGTCGTGAGAGTGCCATCCATGAAGGCCACTGCTGTTTTGGTCCACTGAGCGCCTGTCACTGGTGCGTCTCTGGGGCAGCTGTGCTTCTTCTATCCAGGCCTTGAGCAACAGTTGCTTGGTAGAGTTCTCTCTATGGAGCAAAGAGCTCTCGAGGAGTCCCTCAATCAGCTCGTAGAATCCCTGACGGCAAATACTAAAGCATTGAAGGAGCTGGACAGTCAGCTGCTGGATCGTTTGTCTCATTCCTCTGGAAATCTTTTGGATGATCTGGAGCTTATTGAGGTGCTTGCCAATACCAAGGCAAAGGCAAAGGAAGTGGAGAAAAAACTTAAAGATGCACAAGAAAAGAAGGCGGAGGTAATACTAGCTGTCCAGCCCAATGGTTTAGCAAGCCTTCGATGAAAACCCAACGAGGCCGTTTGCATACCGCTCCCTGAAGATGCAGTGAATTGCTGTATGCTGTGCCGCTAGAACCAATAGCCTGTATTAAACAGGCTGTGGATGCTGATATGCAGCGCAAGCTAATTTGAATTAATATGTGTGTCCATGCAGATTAATGAGAAGAGAGAGCAGTATCGCCCGGTAGCAACGAGGGGATCCGTCCTATATTTTTGCATGGTTGAGGCATCTTTGATATGCTGGATGTACAACAGTTCCCTCGCGCAATTCTTAGAACAATTTGATATATCAGTTTATAGATCGGAAAAGGCACAACCAACTCACAAACGTGTGGAGAAGATTGTAGAATATTTGACTTACCAAGTGAGCTCGTCATGTGGAAAAAATGCGTCCATGTGTAGTTGACCTTTTGCATGAAGAGTCCATCACTGCACCCTATTTCCATGCCAATAATCAAAATTTAAGTGAGGACTCGAATAGCTCACCTTGCCGCAGTCGAAGTGATACCTTGGTCGTTTACAAAGCAACTCTATGAATACAGGTTTATAGATACGTCTGTCGGGGTCTATTCGAGCGGCACAAACAAAGCTTCGTGATGATGCTAATACTTAAAATGCTGCAAATCGACGGTGTGATCCAATCGTCCGATATTTCTTTACTTCTCAACGGTGGCGCAGGTGAGGGGCTGCTCACAATGTGCTATTGAAATGCAGTGGTGATAGCATCTCTAATGCTCTCAAGCCATCAGCGTCGCTGAGGCATTGCATCTGCAGTTGCCTTCTACCTTCTCCAACCTATTCACAATAGAAAGAGGCTTGGCAGCACTATTAATGCAATATGCGGATGCTTGTTGTGCAGGTCTTGACGAGAAGGGAGAAGCTCCCTGTCCCTTCAAATGGTTAGGGCAGGATTCAAAAGTGTGGCTAAACGTCTTGCAGCTTTCAAGGACCAGCTTCGGCAGAGACCAAATACAACTCTTTTGCGAACTGCCCGAATCACTTAGCAAAAACGAAGCTGCGTGGAGGAAGTGGATGGAAGACAACGAACCAGAAACTCTACCAGTCCCGGACTACGAAGACAGACTTAAATGTCTGAAAAATCTCGGGCACATACTAAGGCTGTGTCTCGTGAGCTAGCACCAGGAAATGCTACAGCTGCAAATGGTATTATATGACAAGAGTGCCGCTGCCCGTGAAGTTACTAGACGCACTTCCTTTTCCAACGTATGTTTACAGATCCGCTCTATGAGGCCTGATCGAACAGTAGTGGCGTCGGCACGTGCTATTGACCAGGTCTTGGAGCCAAAATATACAGAACCGGTTACTGACTCTGTCGAGTCAATATGGCAGGAATCATCCTGCCGCGTTCCAGTGATTTTCTTGCTTTCTCCCGGCGCCGACCCGACGTCGAGTATTGATGAGCTGGCAAAGAAGAAACGAAAGTTCCCGACTGACAAAGTATCAATGGGCGAAGGGCAGGAAGTGGTGGCAAGGGAAAAAATTAAATCTGGCTTTCTATCGGGCAGCTGGGTAGTGTTGCAGAACTGTCACCTTGGACTAAACTTCATGAGTGAAATCGAAGAACTCCTTCTTCGGGTCACGGAAATTAACAAGGCAAGAGCACGGACACATGCAAATTGATTCACAGCAGGACACGACCAGAGCTAGCTACAATCCAAGCCTGCCGCAACTACTTAAGCGCTGAGGTTAGAAAAAGCGGTGAGCGAATTTGAACTCCCTCTAAAGCCTAATGAGGGACTTCTTCTCGTAGTTGCTCTCGCAGGATTTCCGTTTGTGGATTACGTGCGAGCCCCACAATAAGTTCCCCATTGGGCTTCTGCAAATGGCCATCAAAGTCACGAATGAGTCACCCATTGGACTCAAGGCCGGGCTTTCAAGGAGCTTTACAACGATGATAACCCAGGAAACATTGGACAAAGTGAACAACGAAAAGTGGCGCACCATCGTATTTGCACTTGCCATGCTCCATAGCGTCGTTCAAGAGCGGCGAAAGTTTGGCCCCTTGGGCTGGTGCATTCCGTATGAATTTAATTATTCGGATTTGGAGGCATCGCTTTTCGTTGTAGAAAAACACCTGGCAGCAACAATATTAGTAGGGCAACCGTTATCATGGTCCACCATTGGATACATGGTTGGCGAGGTGCAGTACGGAGGGCGCATTACAGACGACCTGGACAGGGAGGTAGGACCCTGAACAGCGACCGCGCTTGCAACCTCAACAGCTGTAGTGTGATGTGATGTGTGTATGTATGTGTGTGTGTGTGGGTGGGTGGGTGTGTGTGTGTGGGTGGGTGGGTGTATGTGGTTGTGGGTGTGGGTGTGGGTGGCTGGGTTTGCATATCTGGGTATCTGTCGTGTGCGCGTTTGTCTTTACATCAGATGTTCAACACTTACACCGGAAAATGGCTGACTGACGACCTATTCAGGTCGGGATTTTGCTTTAACAGCTCTACAACAAACGCTCACGAATTCATGTACAGAGTCCCACAAGCAACTGACATCTCCGTCTACCGCGATTACATCAACTCGCTTCCGTATGTCGATCAACCAGGAGTTTTTGGCCTCCACGTAAATGCCGATCTTACATTTCGGCTACAGGAGTCTTCATCCATGCTCGAAACTATACAGGTACATCAGATGCAGTACATTATATGCAATGCCTTTTCTTCATTTTCTTCTTTGTTGTTTCTGCGCGGATGCAATATCAGTGCTTCAACCAGCATTTGCCTTACTTGAAAGTAGAAACTGTGCACTTAACTTCCCAGGATACTTTACCAAAAGCTTCTTCAGGGGGCAAAGGAAAGTCACAGGAAGAAACAGTGCGCGAAAAATGCGTGGAAATGTTAACCAAAATGCCGGATGACTTCCAAGAAAGAGTATACAGGGAACAGGTGTCCAAGCTTTCCGGACCGCCGGCGTTGAATGCCAAAGGATTTGCCGCTCCGCTAAATATATTCCTCTACCAGGTCAGGAATTACCAGCATGAGCTGGAGGACTGGTATTGGCGAAATAGCGATATTCATTAGCAACGAATGCTGCCGAGAACATACGACCCCGGAACTTTACAACCTAACGCTTTCAAACTGTTTATTTTCTTTCGCTTTGCTTCCAGGAAGTGCAGCGTATGCAGCGGATCTTGACCATCGTTCGCACCAATTTATCATCCATCATTAGTGCAATCGATGGTACCGTCATCATGACACCAGACTTGCAGGTGGGGAAGCACCATAACCAGGAAAAAGAGAATCACTGGTGCTACTCCGCTATATGTGTAAACCGGCGGGGTTTTATCCCCTGCTGTTCTTCTGGATTGTTGACAACTTAGCAATCCAGGGCGTCCAGCACCCTTGTGAACCACTTTCGGCGGTCCCGCAGGATGACGTGACGGCAATATCTGACTTGAGGGTGCCACGGCGTTGGATTAAGGATCCAAGCGGCGCCGAGATTTCTTGGCTTTCACCAACTCTTGGAAAATGGTTTTCCGGCATGAGACTTAGGGCTGAGCAGCTTTGTGCATGGCTAGAAAAGGGAAGGCCAAAATCATTTTGGCTCGCTGGCTTCTTTAATCCCACAGGATTCCTTACTGGGATGATGCAGGAGGTATGCTGCCGCCTAGATCCAATGCACTCGTTGCTTAGGGACCAGCACCGTCGGTGGTTTTAGAATAATATGTAGCGCTTGCTCCTTGCTTGTAATGACTCGCAGGTCACACGGCAGCACAAGCGAGACCAGTGGGGGCTTGATGACGTGGTTCTGCACTCAGAAATGCGCACCGTAGATGTAGAGAAGATCAAAGACATTCCAGAGGAAGGGGTAAACATTCATGGTCTATATATAGAGGGATCCCGGTAAGTAGCTAAGTATGAGCCCTGTTCTTTAGCCTACTGTATCCCGATTGGTGCTAGGTCTCTCAATTTTTTCTTCTGGAGCAGATCAGTATCTGAATAGCTTTTTGCTGAGAAGGCTTCCCCCGTTCCACTCCAACTAGAGCCTAAGGAAACCCGGTTTACTTGCACTTCCTTCACGCTGTCGCAGGTGGAACTGGCACGAATCCAGGCTGGAAGAATCCTTACCGAAAGTCATGGTTGATAGAATGCCAGTAGTGCACGCTACCGCATTAACGTCTAAGGATAAACGCAATAAATCCTTAGATTACGGGCAGTTTGAGCCATACGACTGTCCCGTGTACAGGTATCCAAACAGGACAGATAAATACTTGGTATTCCGAGTACAGTTGCGCTCGGACCTGCACCCTTCTCACTGGAAGCTGCGAGGAACAGCGCTGCTATGTTCTACTGAATAAACGCAACGAACTGTTGGGATACAATGGTGTGAAGATTATTCAGCCTCGGACACTGAAATTGCTTCGTGTCCAGGGACGCAGCATTACCTACTGCCTTCAACACCTCACCTGAGCCCCATTTTATTCATATTGCTAGTTTCTACGTCCTACTCGCCAATATCACTAGAGATCGTGCCAGCCCTCACGTGTTCCTCCGGCATTCGATAGCGTCGTCCCAGGGCGTACACTGTGAATTACGTACAGCCCACCTAGTTTTTCCTGAAGACCCAATGGAAGGCTGCTTCGTAATGCAAATCTATTTGAGCATGCGCGTCAAAGAAACAATAATGCGGCGCACGATCTTTTCGTTTGTTAGATGCTACACACACTCAGACTTGCTTTCCATTTACAACGGACAAAAGCGTTCCAGTGATACGGCTAAAGTACGTGCGAATGCACGTCTCTGAATGCCTTCACTGTTCTTTCCGGCCTTTTTTTGTCAATACTGTTAGCTAGAGTTCGCGGCGGGGGAGCAGAGGCTCTATACCCTTGATCACAGCATTTTTGCATCCTTGATCACAGCATTTTTGCTAGCCCCTTATCTGCCATTGGAATGCTAATCATGGTGATGGCTTACAAGCAATTGAACTCAGAATCACCACCAGTCGCAACGGATGTTGGTGCATCGTCGCCTGTAGTGGTTGAGACCAGCCTTTGGTTTTGTAGGTACTCGGAAGGGTCTAGTCGCTTAGCTCATACTTACGTACATGGTCCGTGTACGGCTTTTTCGTGAAGGAAGTTTCTAAGGTCCTCGAATAAAGGACCCTTTACTAGGTGCAGAGGCGAACAAGCGTTGGAACGGATTTATATCATTCATACATTTGCGCCTCTTCTAATCACTGGCAGCAGTAAGGCACTAACTATCAGCATGGGCTACCGGTTTCGAAGACAGCACAAAAAACCACAGGTTCCGGAATTCGGTTTTTCGCTCCTACCCCACTTTCACGCCATTCAAGTACAGCAGTTCTACTGGATTTGGGCAGCGATATTTTCTCAAATGTAAAGAGGCGCCCGCGATCACCTGGTATATGTGATGCGATCGGACAGCTCCCCGGCTGCGAACCTGGAGAGGCCTTGCTACCCTGATTGCATATTCAAGCGATGACAAACGAACCAAAGGTACTCTCATATCATTATGCGTTGCTTCTGGCAGCTATTTAAAGCTCGAAAACGCCTCCATCGTCCACGAATCTCGACACAGTCGGTGCTATACAAAAACGTGGGATGCTAATTCCTTGCCCGCATTTGCTTTGGCTCGAACGAATCACTCTTCAATAACTCGGGATTCTCTTCAAGCTCTCGTGGATTTGCAGTGCGAAGCCCACAAATAGCAAGTCTTCATAACCAACAGTGAAAATCCTCCAGACTAGGCAGTTGGAAGGCGCTCCGACTTGTTAGCTTCAAATTTCACAAGCAAGGCTGGTCTCCGTTTCTCCTGTCGGAGAACCCACTGCAACACTAGTAACTTACTCTATCGTGCAGCTAACGTCACTGTAAGTAAAATCTACACTTGCACAAAGGAGAGTCAGCTCCAACTACATTGCCCACGAAATGTAAATATGCAACCTGCTCCCTGAACCTAGCACCCTCGGCAACGCTTTACTCTGAAACAGTTTTAAAATGACTAACTGACTCACTAGACATGGAACATAGCGGACATTTTCCAAACACTGCCGCAGCTCCACCTGCAGTTTAGGGGCGAGATGTCGAGATGAAGAATAATGAGCATTTCTAGGATCGATACATAGTCCCGAATGTATTGGTATTGATACTAGGGCTTGGCAGCTGCTTCATTGATTGTGTATGTGTTTATTCCTGCAAAGTTTGCACTAGAATATGCTTGAGACAGCTAGTTTTGAAAGACATTTCTGGAGTAGCGTGGCCAGTTCCGGACCTTTTCCGAAGACATTAGAGAGCTGCGATGGAGTAGAAATACTAAAGATGAGAGTTTCGCCGAGGCTGCTAAGGTCCAGCCTCCAAGTATCCTAGACGTAGGCGCAGAATCAGGTGGGGCTGTTGCGGAGTAGGGACGGCAAGTGGCGAGTTGCACCCGTCGTAGCGGCAGCTTCAGCTTCAAGCATGCTTACGCAGTCTCCTTTCGGTGCACTCACAAACACCGAGAAATGCTTAGCTACTCGCTTGCCGCTCGACAAGGAGTCTGCGCTGAAGTAGAAAGCCATGTACAAACTTAGCTGGCGTGACCACTGGTCATGTAAACCGGTCTGGGGGTGGCACCTGGGTTGATAGCGACTTCCTAATGTCGGCATCGCAACAAATGCAAAAGGTGCTGTGACGCGTGGCGCTCGCCCAACATTCATGCGCGTACGACACGGGGGAAAGCCTTTGAAATATGCAAAATGAAGGTGGTCTGGTTTAGCGGCACCCAGCCTCCCCTAGGTAGAGCAACTGGTATAGGCGACAGCGGGAAATTAACTACCGCCAGTGGGCTCATAGATGCAAGGCCATGGGCCGTGAAGAGTATATCCTAGTTTGCACTTCAGCAAAAGGTCATACGCGGCCAACTCTACGCTGCGCCGGGCTCCCCAACGCTTGTAGTCACATCATGTGCACCAAACACAAAGTTCACAGATGGTCCTGAAGAGTCGCTTCGCTCACTCGCTCTTGGGAAACCCACTGGGTTGCAGCCTCCTACCCCCTGAATGCATTATTGTCGCACTCTCATACCGCTTTGCATCGTCATGCCGTTGCTAATAATCCCATTCTCCCACTAACTGGACCGCAGTAAAGTATAGCATAAACCAAAGTTGTGGCGCCGGCTGCAAACCTTCCAATGGATACGCTGCCGAGGTGCCCAAAAGCATGCGAACCCTCGACTATCAAAAGTAAGGCTGGGGATGCATTTTTAAACCCAAAGGCATCTCCACAGCGGGAAGGGATCCCTCCAGTGTCCCCTCACCGTGGTGCCGGTAGTTTTGGGTCATTCACTGGTGCGAAAACATTCTTCTAAAGTTGGTTTCCCGGTACAAATATGTTTGGTAGAATGGGCTGCGGTTGCAGCTCTCGCTTCAATGCAATGGGACGCTGAGTCATTGCTTGCACCCCTCGCCCGGGGAAGGATACTGATTAACGCACATTCCTCAAGCCTACTAAAGCAGCATTTCTCACGGACCCTCAAGAGAAGGCCCCTAAATTTGTTTGATCTTTGCTCGGCTAAAGCCTCCCGAAGTGAGCATTGCTACACTGCAGCGAGCCTAGCTCTGGTGGTAAGTTCTAATGCACGCGCACTACAATGGAGCTCATGTGCTAACCTTATGAGTAGTTTTACTAAAGGGAACAATTAGAACATAAATATACTAACATCGGAACAATTTAGAAAGAAAAGCGGCCAAATAAGTCAAGAGTGCTCGTCCGCCTATATGAGGCGCAGGGCTGACCGTGTGCCTGATGCAGCGTTTCTGGCTCCAACCCTCTGCGAGGGGAGTCAGACAGGTCTATGTCTACTACAGATGGAGTTTGAGGCTAAGCGAATACTCCACAAAGAGTGGGAAAAAAAACTCGCCAAAACCTATTTGGCCCACTGCTAGACATCTGCTTGTGTCTCTTCGAGATAAATATAGACTTGTAGGAATGGAGTGCGGTCAACAAGAGGGACTCATTCACTAGATTCTGTGGGTTGTCGAATCATGCGCAGATGGGGCGCGTCGCTGACATCAACTGGAGTGGCAATCCAGTGCATTTCTTGGGTGACTTTTCTACGGTTGGGAGCCTACGGGGTGAGTTGACACCGGAAGAACTAGAACACCTTTTCGAAGCCCTCATACCCGAGGATGTGGTCCTTGCGCTCCGTGGCAACGGTCAAAGGCGCTGCGGTACCTGCCAAAAGGCATCAGCTCAGTTAAAACGCTTGGCGGCAACGAGAAACGACAGTTTGGCCAAGCACCGACTGATGCGGCATTAGTTAATGCAGGCGAGACGGAGAAAAAAGAGGGCAGTGCAGGGTCCTTCGCTAGCAGAGAGAACGAGGGTTTGAAAAACCAACGTATATTGTGAAAGGAAAGGCACAGGGGCTTTGCGCCCAGTACTGACAGGGCCTAATGCCATCCCAGCATCCCTCGTGTGGGGGATGGTGATATGTGGGGGCAGAACCGTCACAACAGAGGCTGCCAAAACCACAGGGGACCCGCAGACATTGGGGGCTCAGCTACAGGTTGAGGAAACTAGGGGAGAAGTGGATGAGGCGAGGCGTCAGCCAGGCAACCTCTGCGAATGGGGAGCAGGAGGAGCGGACAAGTCCAACAACCCTGGTGACGAGGCTGCTGTGGCGCCATGGTGGCGAGAAGCCCGGAGGCAGGCGGACCTTAACAAAGACGCTATATTGTGTAGAGTGGGCACAACTGCTGATCTAAGAGTGGACGAGGCCGGGAGCCAAGCCGAGCTGCTCTTGGACACGAGGGCGTCTCGGAGTTTCATTAATCCGCAAACAGTTGAACTTTTACAGCTGAAGACGCGCCGTCCTTCAGAAGAGGGCATGTTAACGGTGGGCAATTGCGAACAGATGCGGATTGATCATGCTTTCATGCTATCGAAGACGGTGTGCGAACGGGAGTGTTCCACAGGAGATTTGTAGATTGGGCCTGTATCCTATCATGTAGAGTCGGGGCTTGATTGGTCGACCGTGCTTCGGGTGGCGTGGTATTTTCAGTTGGATAAGTGGCGTACCTACCTGAATGGGAAGTAATGCGAGCAACGGGAAGCTCGGTGAAGTGGAGAAAGGCAGAGGGGGCCGCGCTAAAGGAATGCGCCAGAGGACCCATGCAAAGAAGATATACGACATTGTCGCCAGGCGGGTGGCGGGCATGTCGCCGGAGGAGGGTGCAGCCACCCTACGGCCGTCGCCTAAGAGGTACAAGGCCAACGCGAGAACAGGCGCGAAGGCACCAAGGGAATATAGCTCAGGAGGCCAGGCCAAATGTGCAGGGAGTGCACCGCATACTGGCTTCACGTGAAGCCGAGGAGGCAGAGGGGGCACGTCTAATCGTTGAGCGGCAAGCGGTTTTTGTTGTAAAATTCGTGATTAAGTGCTTTAGGGGCCTTTAAGGTTTTGCCGTGTTTGGCGTTAGATATTCACTATGCACCTCTGTAGTGCAGTCTAGGGTAACATGGAGTAACGGCCGCGGGTGAACGCTGTTCACTAAGCAAGTTTTGCCGCTCGGACTATTCTTCTTGCCATGCACTGGTAACCCGTCCAACAAGATTCTCAAGCTTAGCCCAGAATCACTGTGACATGCAATACAGCAAAACTCTAAACATAGAACTACCGAAAACCTCTATATCCAAACTCCCTCCCCCAGGCAGCCCAGGGTAGGCATCCCCCAAGAAGTTCGCGGGATTGCTCCTGCGGGCACGCAGCGCCCCCAATTGAAGTACACTATGCTGAAACCCCTGCGGCACGCCATTTGCACAAGCAAGGTAATGCACGGCCTTGTTTCGACGCATGCCACAACAGTATAAATTTGTCAAACAAGGGCGTCGCGAGGGGGAACTACCCTTGGCGAGTCTACAAACAGATGCAGCAGCCTGACAGACCACGCTACGTTAGGGGATGTGAATGGAACCTCGGGTGCGAAGCCAGTATGGGCTAAGGCCTTCGAGAACACAAATGTTGATTCCAAGGAGAGTCTGGCAAGCGGACCTAACCCCTTCGGCTGAAGCCGCCTCTGTGAGGCTTGAAGCAGTGAAATTCACGTTGTAAAAATAAAAAAGATCGATTTTTGTGCCCGAGAGAAGACAGCTGCACTGTGGTGCTCAACTGCCGCTGCTGCCCGAAACGCCCTCACGCAGCGCAGATTTTCCAGAATCCCAAGAATAACACTATTCATGGCGGTGCGAAGCAGCGCATCTCCTAAAAGGTGAAGGCAAGAAAGAGCGAAGCTATTAAGGTTTCCTTTCGAAAACGTCTCCACCTATTCCAGCCGTCCCTGCTTGTCACACCAGCTCCCCCGGGTGACATGCGCACCGCATGGAAAACGGAAAGAAGTGTTCTCATTATCATCAACTCTCTTGTTCCATTCAGCGGTTACGTGGGCTAGAGATCGGGGCTACAGCAAATTCTATTTCTCTCTAATCTCACAGCGGAAGCTCATATTGAAGGGCGTTCCATCGTCTTTGGGAACAGCCAGGATCTAGAGAGGCCTGAAGGTGCAGTAAAATGTAGCGAGGCTCAAGATAGAAACACCAACGTAGGGCGAGCTGGCGCGCAAGACCAACAAATTGTCCTCTACGACACGGTATGGACACTCTCTAGCCTTTCCATTGCTGGTGCTACGCATGCTTGTGCACGCTCCACTAGTGTACTTGCTCTCTATTGCCTTCTTCTGGCGGCTCAGTATGGGATCGTCGTTTCACTAACGTTTTCACGAACGGGGTGACATCTCTAGTGCACGACGTCGCAGGCAGCGGCGGAAGAAGGGCCTTGCTGTGGTGCCAAACCCCCTCTTAGCTATATGCGTATCAGAACTATCCGACACAATCTGCTAGTTCATTGCTTTATGCCAATGAGGCCTTTGACCAGTCTTCGTCACTGCGTCAGTATACAGGCCGAAGGCAACCCATAACACACGTCAGACCCGCTGGTCAGTGGCGTCTTTGGGGCATATGTCAATTTCACTCTACGATCATTGGAATTGTAATGCCGACTAGTCCCTTCAATTGTAGACTACAGAATCTGGAAATGAAATAAGGTCCCCAAGCCCAAGCAGTAGTTCGCCAGAAGAATGGTCCTCTCTCGGGTCCTTTATTGTGTACATCAATTTCATTTGCGAATGGGCGATAAGCAGTTGTTGGCCCTGGGATTCACTAAGGTTCCGTGCTTGGGGTGTTCGCTAGCTCAAGTTATGTCGTGTGCTAGCCACTCAGAACCTGGTCCCATTCGGGGGGATGGCTGGATAAAACAGGCTCGTATTTTAGGTGAAAGTGGCACGGCGATAGAACTCCAGCTTTCAAAACGACTAGCTGAAGAGCAGTTCAACCGAGAAGCCATGGCTTGGCGGGTTGTGAAACTGCCTGGAGAATTAAGCGGTTCCCGCACCTCATGCCTCCACCGACAGGCGCTGCTCATCCACGCATTTACTCTTCATCTTCAGCCGGAGCAGCCTTGCCTTTTCAACTGCTAGCTCCTGCCTGAACACAACTATGTATGCTTCGGCTTTCTGTCCATAGTGTGTAACCGAAAAAGTCATTTGTTGAGCCTTCCTCAAGCCTTAAACCTATGATCCTGCCATCAGAAAGCTGAATACGCCTAGATATTACTTTGTCGTCAATATGCTATTGTCGTGGATTAGCCTGTTGTTTGGTCGGATTGTCAGCTTACCAGCAGTCTAATGTACCCGAGTTTTACCTACAGAAAACTCCACTCTTCAAGTGTCAGTGGTGTTACACTGCGTTAACCAGCATATTCTGGCACCCCGCTGGGGCCTTGTGGTAAGCGTCGAGCCATCCCACTACAAACTCGGTTGGTATGCTTTTCCAATTCTGAAAATGCACCTCGAAGACTGTGTGTATCCAGTTCGAGAGACACCACCAGCTTTGCTTGCCGCTAACAAGCCGGCAAGGCAAGCAGTGCATTCATTAATGTGGCGACAGGAGTGGTCGTCTAGTTCGACGCGCGCTTGCCCCATAATGGAAAGAGATTGTCCAGAGATCAAAGCGTCAATAGTCCTTCGGAAAGAGAAAGCTATGAACACACTTATGGTGGACGCCAATGGGGTGAATTCAAACTGGTAAGTCTTTCGTGAGGGAAAGAAATGGCATCCACGAGAAGCTTTCAGCAGTACTTTCTGGAGCAGTGTCTGTACCTGCTGCACAGCATCCGGGCGACTACGCTTAAATTCGAGTTCCAGATCAGGAGATGGAATGAGTGGGATGGGAGGAGGCGCATCGCATGACCTCCCTCTAAGTGTACTTACTAGGCACTAACGCCGTGAGGGTGCAACGTACTGCCAGCCTAGCAACTGGCCTTGTCCAAGTACAACGCCTTGTAGGCTGGTCAAAGGACGATGTGGTATTTGCTTTCAGAAGGTAAATAAGACCTGTATGACACCTGCGTTTTCTTGCGTCTCTTCATCCTCAGCGCCACGTGAAACTGCATTCAAAGTAGCTCTTAATACTGTTTAGTTTGCTGCTGTGCGTGAGTGATAGAGAAACCCGCTTCCTTCTCTGTATTTGTCTAGCCCAATCCATATCCACATTGTGAATTTCCCGATGCCTGCTGCATCCATTTTTGTCTTATCAAAGCACCCACAATTCGTTGATCCTCCCTGTCAGTAGAACTGGACGTCTCAAGGCGTTTTATATTCTCGACAAGCTTTTGCAGGACGAGCATTTCGACGCCTTGGGGAATGTTGGCCATAATTCAATCCGCAAAACAAGAAGCGAATTATCCTCTTCTTTAATAAGAGGTTTTGGATGGACGGAATCTAAGGCAATCTGAACAAGTGTATCGTGGTCCACGTATCCCTGCCTGAGCATGCACACAGCAAACCCAGCGTTTTTCCTGCAGTTTGGATGCATTGCGCTGAAACGTAATCTAGACTCTCCAGTTTTTCTCTACACGCCTTATTGCATACCTTTAAACCGATCTGATTGCTCTCAGTATCCCTAGGCTTCCAGCCTGGCCATGGCGCACATCTAAAAAGATTTTGTCTGTGCTTGCTACAACAGAACGTGGGCAGCATTGTATCTACTTTCCTCTTTTGATCAGCATCAACGCTCTTTTGGAAGGCCGCCTTCTTTTTTGGGACTGCTCGGAAGCCTTTCTCCTTGCCACTTTCTACTTAACAGTAAGGACACTGACCAGCCGCCGCATGTCACTAGGTATGCGCGAGCATCAGCCTCACCCATGAAACCACTGTCGCTTCTGGAACCATGATACTCCTTCCAAGAGCCACAGGTCTACCGGTAGGCTAGGGGGCTAACACATGCTAGAACAGTGTTAAGTGGCGACCAAGGATGTCACCGAAGCCAGAGCACAATCACGCTACCACGCAATTATTCACCAATTCATGTGCTAAACTGGTTTCTGACGAGCGACTTTTGAAAGGTAGTGGAAAGCTGTTCTTCGAATATCCAGCAGCAACGGCTCTCTGCCAGGAGATGAAATGTGAGCATTGTGGCCACAGCTGGAGACTACTCAGTTGGCAACAAGTGCATTCAACGGGACTGTTCTGGCGTTCGGAAAAATCGCAGGTTGGCCAGACTCCTGTAACTGGGATGCCCTAGAGCATGCGAGTCTGTATTGTGGTGATATCGGCATGGAGGGGTATACGATGGTGGCCGAAGCCTGACAAATCCTTTGGAGGCTATTAAGAGTTCGCGCGAGCGTAACTTTGCTCCCCCGTGGTTAATCTGCGTAATTAAAGCAAACAGCTCCACGCAGTGCGGCTCCTAGTAATATGTGGACGCCAAACATCGTTCCGGAGGACCAGTGTGCTGCTTTGCATTCTTCCCCATTGATATGCTCGTATATGCAGAGAACAGGGAGGGAACTCTCGTTGACAAATGCCTTTCCATTCTTAACGACACAAGCTTAGTGTACGCCGATGCAATTGACGGTATTGCATTTAATTCCAACAGGCAATAGGGAGGGTTTTTCCCTGGAGAATATGGCGGATATACAGAATGTCTTGCTCCTCCGGCAGTCGAGGTTCGCAAAACCTCAGGCGGTGTGGGTAGGCAGGATGAGGGTGGCAAGCAGCTACCATGCATTGATGATAACAGCATGCCAGGTTTCGCACTGTGCGAAGATAAATATTCTGCAAAGCCTCCAGGGCGGGTGATGCAGTGTGCGCCAAAAAAGGAATTGGCTGCCGGCCAGAACAGCCGAAGGACCCTTTATCCACACAGACGCTCCTTGGGGCTAGCTGCTGTCCATCCATTCTGCGCACAGATAACGGTTTGGCTTCGGCGGTTCGCTTCACCGTTCAATCAAATATTTCAAGAACTCCTTCAAAGGGCGTTGTGCACAACCATGCCTACGTGCCTTTTACCACGAAACGATATTGGGGCTGCCACTTTTGCATTAAGATATTATAAGCGTTGAAAAGGGTGCAGGGGCCCAACTTTCACCTCAGCCAGTAGTAACTGATGAAGGAAGGCAATGCGCATGCTGGTTAACCTTCGCCACAGTTGGTGACAATCTTTCCAGATAATTCCCGACCTGAAATGTGAACCATGTTCTTCCTGTGGAGAATGCAGGAGCTATTCGAACTATTAAGAGCTCCAGTGGTAGCTCTGCACTATGGCAAACGCAATGCCTCGCTGCAGCAATCCGTACGGCAGTTCACCCCAACGTCAGGCGTCCTTGGACGGGTATACTCCCTAGCAAGTTTTGTCCGAGTGAAGCTGTTCCCGCATGCCATCCAGGCTACTCCACCTACCTACGGGAAGGGCTGCAGCTACTACGCCAGTTGCATCTCTCTGGGCAATAAAAGACCTCGCTCTCCGGTGAATTGCGCCGACGCCCGAGACTGCCGCGGCGCATTCCCTAAGGTCTTCGAGAACATTGGACATATATGTGCTGGAGGACTTCGACATCCAACTGGGTAGCCATTTATTTGGATTGTAGTGCTCGGAAGTAGAATAATACTGGTTTGCTATTTTCTAGTTTTCTTGGACTAAATCGTATAAAACAGTGCTAGCCCTTCGTGTTGTGGTGATGCGCGGGGTTGTCTCCTGTGTCTAGATGAAGTCAAGGACGCCTCGACTCATCGGTGATATTCAATGCCATAAAGGCGAGGACGCGAAATTGTCTCCTCTCTTGCTTGTTGCCCGTAACGGTGAAGTCCTGGAGTGGGGATAACGGCGTCACCGGCTTCAAGGGGAAGCGCCTTTCGCAACGCAGATACTTCTCACGCGTCGAATCATCGAAGGAATGGATCTTGGAGTTGCTTCCATCTTCATGTTTCTCCTCATTTGCTTTTTCCCCAGACTTTCGCTGGAAGTGCATCTTGCCTCTTTAGCGGACAGAATAACACTTTATTCTGGGCAGGTTGCCTGGTGGCAATGGAGAGGAGTAGATTGTTGTTGGTAGTGACATTCACTTTAGCTTAGCGGCAGGATCTAGATGATGTGGAGGAAGCAGTCGGTTGTAGCTCGGACAGCACACAGTAGGTGAAACACGGAAGAAAGCTGCCGAGGACCAAAGGAAGCACCTACGTTCAGGATTTCGTCCATTTCACCGCAGCCAAGCGGCAGACTGCCTGGCGGTGTTAGGTTGGCAAGAAGAAGCTGTACGTTCGGCAAAACAACGAGACGATGGGACGAAGGCGAAAGCGAATTATAGTGCTGAGGTGCAGCGTTAGTCACAGAATCTCTCTAACCATGGTGATCACTGCTGAGAGTTTCCCGAATATTCGCGTTCCGTTCTAGATAATAGGATAAGATGTCGTGGAGGTATCCTAGTGTTTTTTGCCCGTTTGAGGGTTACCGTCGCTGTTAATTAAATGGCTTGCTGCCTGCTTTTGCAACACTGACCCAACAACATCTGCCAATGTGCCAGCTCAGGAATTCTGATACGTTGATTGGTCAGTCAGGCGAAATTTTTTACCGCCCTTGACCTATGTAGTCCAGAAACTGCCTTGCCCTCCTATTTCTAGCTTTACTCCAAATCCTGCCCATATATGAAGGCTACAATTGGACATCTCGTAAAAAAGTGCAGCCCGCAACAAAAGGAGGTCAGCAGATGCACGCTCCCGCAAGCCTGCGCTATCACGTTTTAGCATAGGGTGCTGTATGGGAGCAGGCGACGAGGAGACGGAATGACGAAATGTTAATTGTTCCTGGCGGGATGCCGAAGCTTGCGGTGCATCTGCCTATCTCACGGCCACCCGTGAGGTGCTATGGGGACCGAAAGAAGGCTTTTCCGAACACCGTCGAGATTAACCGCCGTCCCTGTTGCAACGTATGCGCAAGTAATTTGTATTACCTGGGCAGTTCCGAATGATTTGGGATCGTTATAGGTGACTCCAACGCAGGACAAGGAGATCCCTGAAGCTGTATGATGAGTTGGAACCTTTGGGACTATAGGCGTGGTGCGCAGGCCATACGGTGATCTCGAGGCCGCACTAGGCAGCTCCAAAAGCATTATCGCTCCCACTATCTAGCTAGCCTGCCAGATAATCGTCGTGACCAACGTCTTATTTTGAGTCGATATGCGCCCGAGATGAAGCAGAATAAGAGAGCAAATGCCGTGATTCGCTCTTCGCGCCCACCTGAAGTCTCCAGAATTGGACGAAACAGGCGTGACAATGTGCTTTTTGTTGTGGCTGCCCGCCATTTACGCCATTCACCTCGAGGAGGTCATTTGCCTTCCCAGAATGCCTCAGAATGATGTTTGTTTTGCTATGTTAAAGCGAAATCATGATACAGTCGGCAGAAGAAGGTTTAGTGCGCAAGGGGTGTTTCATCCAGGCTGTTGCGAAACAAACCAGAAGGGAGAGGAGGTTGCGTTCTATACTTGCTTGTGCATTAGTAACAAACTTTTTGCGGAGACATGTGCATCCCCGACTCAAAACAATATGCCGTTGACATTAAACGTTTTGGCGGTCGACACATATGGCATGATATAGGTATGGAGTGAGGTAACCAAGGCTGTTTGCCCTACGCGAGAAAGAAATAAGGTTCGAGCATCCGAACAACCCAGCCAAGGGTAATTATTCGGAGTAACATTAATAAGTAGAGAAATTCATGAGGACTGGATAGCCAGTTGGCGCACCCGCCAGTACCTTTGTTCAAAGAGTTTGTAACAACCTGCCCACAGCCTATTCAGGCGTGCATAAATGTCATCTGGGAAACAATCCATTGTTTTAAAGACACGTCAGTTGCATATCTGTTTGGCGAACCAAGCGCCGAAAGCCCGCCTGCCTGTTAAGGTGGAAAAGCGTGAGAACGCTCCTTGCTGCCGGTAGGATGAGTACTCTTCGTCGTTAGAATTGCGCTTTTGTAATAGAAGCTCTTGCAATCTGTCCACCCATACCCTATAAGCCAAGGCTTGGCCCACTGGGAGCTCAAGTCAGTGCACAAACGATTCGAGCTTCTAACGATCAACCTATCCTATTAAAGAAGCTCACTCATTTTGTCTGCTCAGTTTATCTACGGTTTTCTATGAGAAATAGTCTTGGTTTTTGACCCGGTGTAGTTGTCCCCAGGTCTCTACACTACAAAGCGTCACTCCCATGCATGGCATTATCAGAAGTTGCATAATGCATGGAGGATATGGGTTTCTTGGCCCACTGGGAGCTCAAGTCAGTGCACAAACGATTCGAGCTTCTAACGATCAACCTGTCCTATTAAAGAAGCTCACTCATTTTGTCTGCTCAGTTTATCTACGGTTTTCTATGAGAAATAGTCTTGGTTTTTGACCCGGTGTAGTTGTCCCCAGGTCTCTACACTACAAAGCGTCACTCCCATGCATGGCATTATCGGAAGTTGCGGAATGCATGGAAGATATGGGTTTCATTTTGCATATAAGTCACTCAGAGACACGGGAACACTCCTTCGCATGCCTCTCTCGGAAAGCCGGGAAGTAGCAACATGCTAATAGGGATAAGGCAGATAA